GGAGGTGGGGGTTGGGGCAACCCGCCATCCGTTTCCTTCCGCATTGCACCGATGCTTGGCAGGGGCGGGCCTGCCCACTCCCTCCCGGGGGTGGGGTGGGGGCGATGTTTGAGAGGTGGAAGGGGCCCGGGACCCCCGACCCCAGAGCAGGGGTGGGGCAGAGCTGGGTCAGCACCCCCGTGACCCCACGCCCCACCGGAAGCAGACACACACTCAAGTTCCGTCCTTTATTGGGGAGGAGGGCTGGGGAGACAGCTCCTTTATGAAAGGAAACCGAGGGCCGCAGGGGGAGCCCCAGGGCGGCGGCTCTCGGGCCCCAATCTGGGGCGATGTCCACCACTCGTTCCAACTCAGGCCACTCTCTTGGGTGGCCGTGGCCGTGCCCGGCCTCGCCCACGGTCCTGTGCAGACCCCCTGGGCCCGGGCTTGGCCTGGGCTCCCCAGGGCCTGCCCTTGGGCTTTGGGGGCCTCCCTTGGCCACCCGGAGCCCGGCGGTCCTGGCCTCGGTCCGGCCTCCGCTCCTTTCCCCGCGGCTTCTTGCGTGGAGGCCCTGCGGGCCGTCTGCGCTTGGCCGCGCCCGGGAACATGTCTGCGGGGAGAGGCCAGTCAGGGCCAGCGCTGGGCAGCGGGGCGCCCCACCGCCCTCCCGGCCGCCGCGCACCCTCATCCGGCTCCTGGCCCACGGCCTGGCGGAAATATTCGGCCTCGTCCTCCTCCTCCTCCTCCCGCCGGCCTGCTCCCTCTGCCTCGGGGGCAGCCCCGGGGTCCTCGGCGTCACTGTCCCCATCTGCCCGGGTCCTCTTCATGCCCGCCAGGCTCTTCTTCCTGGAAGAGGGGACAACGGTGAGAGCGGCGGCGGCACCCCGGGCCCCCGCCGCCCGGCCCCCACGGACTTGTGCGCCTCGCGCTGCTCCCGCTTGCGCCGCACGTTCTGCGCCTGCACGTCCTGCCGCTGCGCCCGGAGCCGCAGCCTCTCCTCCTTGGCCGCCAGGATGGCCTGCAGCTCCTCCTCGGTCTTGTGCACTGTGGGGAGGCGGGGAAGGGGGCCTTCACTGTGGGCCGCAGGGGCCGTCGCCAGCCCACCCTCAAGTCCCTCAGACGGACCCCAGCCCCCTCGAGCCCCCGCGCACCAAAGCTGTGGAAGAGCACGTTGCCCTCCGCCACGCCCTCCTGGATCTTGATGAGCCGCAGCGTCATCCGAGGGCCAATCTGGGGGACACAGGGACACGGGGCTGGGTGTCAGTCCCTGCCGGGCGTGGCCCCTCCGCTGCCCCGCACCTCCCGGAGCCGCACCTCGGTGAGTCGCACGGCGCTCTGCTGCGCCCGCATGTTGCCGCGGCCCGCGACGGCCTGGGGCAGCTCCGTGATGTTGTGCTCCCCGTCAGGCTCCGCCTCGCTCTCAGACAGCCCCGCGCCGCTGTGGGGGACACGCGGGCTCAGCGGGTGGGCTCGGGACGACCCCACCCGGGCTGCTCGGTGCCCTCCTTACGTGGCCAGCAGCTCGCTGATGTCCTGCAGGCGGCTCATGTTCGGGACCTTCTCCTGCAGAAGCTTCTTCATGCCCCGACTGGCACCCACGGGGACCACCTTGATGCTACTGCAGGGGCAGGGCGCGGGACAGACAGCAGTGAGGCAGGGTGGGATCCCCCGTAGCCCAGGCCCCTGCTGGCCTCCCACGTGCCTCAGGGCGTTTACTTTGAGACTGAGAAATCACAGCGTCTCAGCAGCTGCACTGTCATCACCGCACGGTAAGACCCCCTGAATCCCCTCCATCCAGGGGCGCACTCACTAATGGCGGAAATCCAGCTCCTGGGAGTCGGGGTTGTAGCTGACCAGCAGGCAGCGCTTGATGGTGTTCAGGTTCACCTGGAGGGAGGGTGAGCGGGGGCCCCTGAGCCGCAGGCCTTGCCAGGGCTAAGGCTGCAGGAGCCCCAGCCGGCCTGACCTCACCCCACTCGGGTGGACTCAGGAACAGTTGGGTGGGGAGTGCTTGGTGCTGATACCACGCAGGCTGGTGGGGTATAAAGCGTCCAGACTGTCGGGGCCAGGACCTCTGAGGCTGTCCCTCACACACCCCGAAGGTGGGCACCTCGGGTTTATTAACCCCATTATGCACACAGCAGGTGCCAAGGATGAGAGGGGCCAAGGCTCTAAAACCAGACAGGTTTAAACCAAGTCCTGGCCAGCCCGGGACGCCGGGTCGCATATGGCCGGCCATGGTCCGAATCCGCCCTTTACTGCTTGACAAGCAGGCCAGGCATGGGGTGCGTGTGCCCCAAATCCTGACAAGATGGGGAAACAGGGCTGAAGTGGGACCGTGGCCCACGGGGTTGGGGGAGCAGTACCTTCTCCCTGTCTCTGGCAAGCACACCTACCCTCTGGCAAGTGGGAAATGCATGAATGAAAATCCAGCCCTGCCCTCTGGAACCGAACCTCAGGCCAGTGACTTTACTTCTACCAGGGATGGTGACAACAGATGCTTGACGGGCCCGGTGGCAATGTGGCCCCATCGCCGTTTTCCACCTGCCAGGCGAGACAGCAGCTCCCAGGGTAGGGGACAGCAGGGTCCCCAACACCCTTAAGTCTCCCTCCCGCGTCTACACGGCAGGAGCCTGTGTCACAGAACACACGATGGAGGTGTGACCTCGGAACTCCGCTTCGGCGCTGCAGTGAGGCCTCAGCAACTGACCCCGGGGCCTGTGGTACCTGGTGCCCGCCCTGCCCCGCCCCCCGGACCTGCCACCAGGCCCGCCCGGCCGACCTTGTGCACGTTGATGGAGGGGAACAGGTTCTGGAACATGGTGGCCATGAGCTTCACGTGCATGCCGTGGGGGCCGAAGCTGTTGAGCACCAGGAGGGGCGGGTGGGTGAACTGCTGCTCGTGCATGCGGTGGCGGCGCAGCGAGGAGACCACGTCCCGCACCAGCGTGTACTGTGGGGAGAGCCGGAGAGGCTGACCGCTGACCTCAGTGGCCGCCCACCCTCCACGGCCCCTGTGCCGCCTCTGACCCTCACCTTGTTGACCTGGAAGGTCAGAGTGGGGCCTCCTGGGAGACGCACCAGCTTCTGCGGGAGAAGGAAGGATGGGTGAGGTGGAGGTGCCTGGTGTGGGAGCTGGGGCGCAGAAACTTGTGCCCCCTCTCTTCAGAGCGTTTACTTTGAAGCCAGAATCATGGCAGCTCAGAGGCAGAGGGGCTCATCCTGAGAGATGGGGGCGCCTGGGGGAGAGGAGGGCATGGGCGGGACACGGGCAGCACTCACGAAATAGACACTAGTCTCCGTCCTGCTCAGGATCAGGAAGTGCGTGACTCCCAGGGGCCCAGCCACCGCCACACAGTCCTTCAGCGAGTTCTTCTTGCGGACCTGAAAATCCCAGAACCAAAGGGAATGAACATGGACCGCCCCTACTGAGCAGAAACTGGAAGATGAACTGGAGGGGCAGCAGGTGGCGGGGTGGTTAAAGACACTGGACCGCCCCATGGCTGACCGTGGTTCAAGTCCTGGACATGGCGGCTTGCTTTCTCACTCTCTCTGTTTCTCTGTCTCTTTCTGGTCAAATTGGAAAATAATAACAAAGTTAAAATAATAATAATAATAATAATAATAAAAAGATTAAGCAGAAAGGCGGGAAGATCGCGCTTTGCACTTCCTTCCAAGGGGCCCAGGACGGAATGACTCCGCCCTTTAAGGTCAATCAGGCATGATTTCCAGCACTGCCTCGCACCTTGTTCGCTGTGTATCTGCCCAATTGACAGCAGAGGAAACTGAGGCCAGGGGATGTTAACCATCTTGGTCCAGGCCTTTGAGAGAAGCCAAGTTTCAACTCAGCTTTGCAGTCTTTATTTTTTTTAAAGACTTTTGCTATAGGGCCCGGGTGCTCGCCTGAGAGAGAAAGCGAAAAATAGCTACTCCACAGCCCCTGCTTCTCCATTCTCACTTTGATTTTGAGCCCGCAAGCACATGCGCCAGGCGAGAGTTTCAAGCCACCAGTCCGCGATTTGAACCGTGGTCAACTAACCAACCACATGGGAGTCCAGCGCATCAACCACAACGCCAGTCCAGTCTTAACCATCATCAGGCTCAGGGGTGCAACTAAGCCCCTAGCTGACTCTATGCTCTGCACCCCGCAAACTCCCCGAGAGGCAGAGACGATGATTCCCAACAGGATCCCTTCCTCCAGCCGGGGTGACGGAGGCCTCCCGCGTCTACACGGCCGGAGCCAGGCCTGCAGCTGCGCAGACCGAGCCCAGGGCGGACGGAGGCAATCCGGGGGAGTGGGGGTGGTGGTGTGCAGACCTGCAGGCGGGTGGCGGTGAG